AAATTGTAGTACTATTAGCCGGCAATTTATATATCAATCTTTATGAATCCACATATGAAGCTTTTGATAGATTTGTGATCAATTTTAATAGATAATTCATTAAAATTAGCCGCCCGGATCCTACCTGCTTTTTTATTATAAAAGGAGCAAAATATCCTTTTATTTTTAATCTGGTCTGTTACCTACTACTTAAATTTACGACGTCGTCATTGATATTAATAACCCTACATCATTCAGTATCATCTTGGTTAATAGGCTTTTGCTTGGAATGTGCCAATTGTATAGTGGTTTGGATACCACATTGATAATTTGGATATTACTCAAAATACATAATATCCTATATTATTTCAATCATGCATTCGTTTTCAGATATATATATACGTTATCATGTTGTTATAATCATGGATTTAATATACATTATTATCAATAGAATGCTTTTATCAAAAGGTATCTTCTATTGAAACTGTTTTTATTCATAATGAATATTTTGTAATGTAGATACGTAAATCAATCATATATTGAACAGTTAATTGTTATATGACCACATTCATAGCATGATAGTACTATACATACATGATTCACCAGAAAATATAAGTCGTATATATCCTCCGATGTGGATTATATCTGCATAATAGATCTATAGCTCAAAAATTATCTTTGATAGATCTGTGATCTGTGTATCAGCTGTGTACTATCACATGTGGGCGGGGATAAATTACAAAAGGAAATTAGCCGCTATTGCAAATCCTTAAATATAAAAATTTCCCCCAAAATTTTTAAATTGTTTTACTTCATGACTCCAACTTGGTCAGCTAAATATCAGACCAGAGTTGATCAATTATTTTTATATGATAATTTTCAATTGTTGTTCGTTGCATAATGTAACCAATTAAAAAAATGTCAGTACTTAATCTGGAATTAACTTAAGATACAATTCAATGAATGCAAGCACTGTTTATATTTAATAGTTCTATGGTTATTTTTTTGGGGAATTAACTATATATATTCCATATAATGATTAAACTTGATTGTTCATGATCATTTTGGTTTATTAACAGTTTAATATACAATTACTCTCTAGAATTAATCAATTGTTGATTCTTCTATTGAGATATATTTTTGAACTATTATACATTTATGACGTCGTAGTTATATATATAGCTTTAATATAATTAGCCGCTGACAATTCAATTCCATTTTTGTGTGACCATGATTTTACAAAAATTATAAATCAAACTTCTTTTGCAGTTTAACATATTTCTTACACTTTTCCTATATCCATTTGTATTTCACTTAGATATATCTTTGTGCTAGTAATGGATCTATTGAAACAACTGAATTATAGATGAACAATAGTAAAACTTGAGTATTATAATGAATTTTTAATTCGGACCGTGATCAGCTGAAATATAATAATTTGAAAAAATATAAAAATAATTGGATGAATATCTTTTTGGATGTACTTTTAGATGAATTTTATCTTAATAAATATTGACTGGTATATTTGAATTTTGAACCAATTATCAGCATGATTTGAATTGGATCATCTTATAAAATGGTTACGTACGACGTCGTTTAAAGATTTTGATAACTATTTATTTATATAGTTGATAATCTGTTGAATGTATGATCTTTTGTTTTATAATATTTCAGTAGTTGTTTGATATTCGTTGGAGTTATAAGAATTAATTTGTAGCTTCATCAATATTTGTAAAAATAGCCGCTGTATCTCAAAAAATGATATAAAAGGGTTCAATTTCCCACTTTTTTGAAGGAAAAAATTAGAATTTAAAGGCGATTAACTATCTGCAGCAATTCCTAAAATTGAAATGAATGATTCAGTAGGTATCATCATTTAATCTAACTTAACAAAGTTTAAACTGTTCAAAAGTTAAGCTTTCAGCCAATTGTGAACATTTTATAAATCACCATGACTCGTAAGCGCTGTGATTTGCAGGGTCTTCCAATTATTCCCATTGATGTTATTCAATTGTAATCAATTGAGATATTTAATTATATTTCATAATAAGTTGATTCATTGATAATAGATCCATCAATTACCTTATGATACTTGTGATGATATTTACATACCAGAAAACACAACTATTTAACTATTTTCAAATTCAAATTGTAGTGAATATCCAATAACTTTTACTATCCTGATCCTTTTTACATTGTAAAATATTAATAACTATAATTTTGGGATGTATCGGGTAAATGCGGATAAATCATGATCATCGTTTTGATAATGGTAGCTATTTTTGTGAAAAAAACTTAATTTACAAAAGTTTCGCCCCTTGATTGATTCTTCATAAATTCAATACAACATGTCTGGACTATAATATTGGTTAAATTCAATTGTTCTAATATGATGAATATTTTTTCATATATCCTTTTATACTAGAATGTTTATCAGCTCAATAAAAAGTTGATTCTTAATCTATGACTCGACGACGTTTTGCAGCAATATTTCAATTGTGAATCTTTTTAAGTTTGTCAATCTGATCAATATATCATTAATTATGAAACTTTTACAAGTTTCTATATATTGTTATAATTGAATCTATGAATATATACAAATCAATAATGATCTCTGTGATCTATTGATTTTGATTGTTTTTTCAAATGAGTTGTAGATATAATTAGAGCTGATCATGTTATACTATACTGAATAATAGCCGCCCAGATTAATTCAGTTGATTTTTTCCAAATACTATATTAAAAGGAGTTGAAATTTTCATTTTTTTGAAAAATTTATTAAGAAAACTTTTATGATGGCTAGCTGAAACACTTCATCCTTTTTTACCACCTAATGATCTCTTAAGAAATTATATATATAATTTTTTCAAGAATACAGAGAGTTTTTAATTACTAGTTCAAATTAAAAACAATTATCATCTCTTCATCTCCTTTTTGTCTTGAATTGTTGTTGTTAAACAACAATTTATAAATCTTCTTGTATATTAATCATTATTACAATTATGATTAAACTTCAACTATAGTTACATATCTTATTGTTTTAAATGAAGTCAATACATAATAATTACAATAGAGCGCTATACAAAGTGTTTATCTATTGTTCAATGTTTTTTTTCAAATGACTAATTGTAGTTCTTTTCCACATTGAAATTTTAATCAATATTTGCTTTTTCAACTCCCTATATATTATATCTTGATACTATTTCGTCATTGATCCACTTTTAAACTTATGAGCACTTACACAAAAGTAAATTTAAATTAACCGCTGAACTTTTTTTATATATAAAAGCACAGTTTCTCACTTGTAAAACTTTTTTGAATACTTTAAGTACATAGCTTGATTATAGTATTGTTAATTATACTCAACTACAAATTAAACAAAGAATTTTAAATCTGTGTTATGCCAGAAGTTTTAAGTTTTGAATTAACTATATTATGTTTTTTGATTTTTGGGCCTATGTCTAATTTATGAGGTTTATAGCTCATAAATTTTCGATTTAATAAGTGATTGAAGATATACTCAACAAGTATATATGGTCATTTTGACAAATTAATTGGTATATGAATATACAATCTCAACTCTTTAAAGGTCGTATATAAACGATTCATTTATTGAGATTATGTTTCTTGAAAGTATACCAGGTCAATTTGTAGTACTGCTTGTCGATATAGGTCTTTTGATTCATACATGTCTTTATGGAATCTGCATATGAAGTCTTGATAAATTTATGATCGAATTATAAGTAGATCATAAAATTAACCGCCCAGAACCTACAATATATTTTTCACTATAAAAAGAGCGGAAAATCCACTTGGCTTCTATTAAATGAATGTGATATTTATAATAACCAATATTGGAATTATACACTTTTCATCACTTGAGAATATCATTATTTGTGACCATATACATAAACAAGACTGCAATATATATCCAAGTTATTTCAATTATGATTTAGATGATCAAATTTTAGTGATGATCATGTTGTTATAATCATGGATCTTAATATACAACCTTATCAATAGAATGCTTTTACAAACAAGTATCTTTTATTGAAATCATTTTTGAATATTGATTTATAAAGTAGATCTATGTAGATCATCAATTGAATATTAAACAAATATTTGTTATATCACCAGATTCATAGTATATTATACATGATCCACTTTAAGATATTAGTTTATAGAATCATATGGTTCAAATTATTATCTTTGATATAGATCTGTACATATAGGAAGAAAATTAGCCGCCAAGGTAAAATCTTGAAATATAATATTTAAAGAAGTCAATTTTCCTTTTGTTTGATTTTTCGATATCAACTTTCAATGATATATATCCAGATTGAATTATTCCAATGATAAGGAACACCAATTCATTCAGCAAGTTTTACTGTTTAAATAAAAGGTTGAAGTGACTAATGTATTACTTCCTTTTCAGAAGTATAGCAAATTGTTTAGTCATGTTTTTAGCAATTTTTTGACGTTTTTAATACATTTTTACAATTAATTACTACATATTCCAATATTTGATTACTGCCATAATCATTTTGGTTTATTCAGTTCAATATACAATCTTTTTACTCTTTAAAAATCATAATTAATTGTGATTCTTCTATTGAGATCTATATCTTTTAAGTTATCATACACTGAGTTTTGATGTAGTTATATAGCTTTAATATAATAAACCGCTGAAAACAAATTCAATTTTGTGTTTGTACAATTAAGATTTTTACATGATTTCGTTGTTCTTTAATTCGATCATATCTTTTATGTAATGAAATTATTGATTATCTAGAACAAGATGATAAATTGTTTTGGTTTATAAGCTGTCAAAAATTGAAATGAGTATAATCATTTATAATTCATAATATTACTTTCTTCAATTAGAGTTTTTGATCTTTGTGGTTGTTAATATTAGCCGCTGATATTTGTTTGTATTATTATACATTATACATATGAATGGATTCATGAATTTTTTCTCTAATACTGTAATAATTGTTGTATATAAACTCGAATTAAACACTTTATTCATATGTACGTAATGTCTCCCAATCTTTTTTAGACTTAGCAGCAATCTGATTACCAAAATCCAACATATTTTTGTAATCTTCTTCGAAACATTTTCTAACTTGATCTTTATCTTCGGTATTAATGAAAGCAACTAATTCTTGCGACGTGAATCCTGCAATAAATACTTGATCATCAATGTCTATTACTCCATTCTGGTAAAAGGTCCCTGCTGCGTGATCAGGTGTAAACTCGTTATTAAAATAAATTCGATAAAAGGAAACAGCAATGTTTGATTCATTTTTAGCAGCTAATTCTTCAAAATATTCATTTTGTTCTTTTGAATTAGGATGATTATCAGTATCAATAAAGTTTATGAAAACCGTTTCAGATGATATACTAGCCTGATAAAATTCATCTTCATTATGAAGTAAAGTAGACATATTTCAGTATCTTAGATATAATATTTGTACTATCTTTTCCCCTGAATTGATTGAGTCTTTTGAAAATTATAAATTAAGTATTAGCTCGTGGAGTTGTAATTTGTTATATGATCATATAGATCGAGATTTAACATCTTTTATATATATAATTAAATATAATCTTTGTGTAGATCTTGTTGGAGCAATGTGTGGGTGATTTCAGTCATAAATGTCTTGTTTAAAAAAAAGT